TCGGTGGCGAAAAAAAAAGGGCAGGTTGGGCTATGCACAAGGGAGGGTTCAGAAAGGGTCATGGAACACAGATGTTCCCTAGGCGTGCTTGCAAGGGTGTAACAGAAAAGCACCGCAACAACTACAACTGCCGGAAAGAGCGGAAACCCCAATGATCAAAGGAAAGGAGCAATGCCGAGAAAAGAGAAGAAGCCACACTCCATCTAAGGAAACCAGCAACGGCAGTGGGCCCGCCGACAAGCAATGAAAGCATCAAGGTGTGGGAATACGGACGCGGTCCAACGCATGCACAGCACCACGCAGGGGCAAAGACCCCGATCACGCGACGGAGGATAGAACCACAAACCCAGGCAATAGCGAGCCGACATTCTAAAAACACGAAGCAAACAACGGTGGTTGCAGTTACCCTCCAATAATACGACCTAGCGCTCTTTATCTCCCCTCATATCTCTCCAAAGTCCCTAGCAGCCTCTCCTCTCGCTTTTCTTCCGCTCCCCCCACCTCTCCAAAGCAGGGAATCCTGATCATACATCCCACAGCACGGTCACCCCACCTTTAAATAGTGCCCATCCACTTCCACATCCAAGGCCCAACAAGGGCAGTAACCAACTCCGAGTGACACGCAGTGACTACCTCAATCAGGGAAAATTTACTCCCGCCAAGCTGCATGATCAGTACAACATACCAAAAAACTACAACGGGCAAAGGCTGAACCGACTCCACCGGAGACACAGAGGGCTCCTCCCACCGATGTGAAACGGCCAGCGAGAGCCAAAGGTGGGGGGGAAGAATGAAAAATATGGACATTTCCTTGATTGCCATGACACGTTACTTTCAAGTTTTGTAGCGGGATTAAGGAAGGTGCGGGTATTCCAGATATTATACTCGGATAGGTGCATGTCTCTACTTGCGCATTACCTATGTCCCATCTATGCACGGGGAGTAGAGGGTTTTTGTATAACTGGATGAGAGGGGGGGCGGGGGGGGGAGATGGCATCATAATATCGCCTATTACGTGTGTTCACGGGTTCGATGAAGAGGGCTGTGCCTAAAATTCTAGCCGGTGGGGTTGGTAAGGGCTTTAGTATCATGGGGAAGCTTCCGCCACGGCGAGGAATTGGAAGTGAGTGCTCAAGATCACCGGTCACACACAGTATGATACTACCCGGGTATAAGTGGGGGGGGCTATGAGAACATAATAACCCCGCCCTCCCCTCCTAATGATATTAATTGGATGGAGATAGCTCCCGGTAAAAGTGGTCCCAATTGATTCGCTGAAGGAGAGAAAAGGGGTGTAATCCAGGCCTTGGGCGTAAAGCTACCTTACTCCGCGTGTGGACTCCTAGCTGGAGTGCGGAAGGTGCGAGCGGGTGAAGGGATTTGATGCGTAGGTTCAGATCCCCACCAACTCTGTGCGATATCACGGGACACTTGGCACAAAATTCCCTAGAATGGCCAAAATAATTTCGATATCATGCATACATAACAGTTCTACGCAGGCACCACGACGTACCACACTCCCAAGCGCCAGGCCACTCCCGACTGGCGGGAAAGGGCGCGCAGGAGACTCCCATTCAGGCGGGAGAGGAGGATCGAGCCGGACCCAATCTACAGCAAGCCCTTTCGCCTGCCTGAGCGGCACACCCACACAGGCAGCCATTTCGGTGGTGAACAGAGACACGCAATCATATCGTACCGCTTATTAAGCATGAATTCCATGACATCCTCCAGCGAGTTCTTCTTGCATTTAAAGGCGTTCTTCGACCCCCCGGGAAAGATGGGAGAGAGCAATATCATGACAAACGCCACAGAGGGACAACCCATGACTGCACTGCTCCACCAGCCAAATGCATCACTTCAGCAATTATGGTGGTACGTTCAAGGGCTTGCATCTGCGCCTACAACATCGGAATCGACAATTTTATCACACCACATCTCAACCGTTCCTCAAAATTTATTATATATTCCTAGAGCCATAGAATACCGTGCCGTGCGAGCCATTGGGTGACCTAAGCCAACACATCGTACGACACGCCCAGCACCGGCCAACCGCAACAAATTCTCAATTAGGTGGAGGAAAAGTTCTCAGCTAGGTTTAAACGGTATCACGACAGGGTAGCTGCGGACACCCAGCTAACCGCCACCAGAGCTCATTCGGGGTGCGTGCTATGTGGGAGCGGAAGTAAAACCGAATCTCACGCCCAGTTGATTAAATCACTCCGAATTTCCCTTCCCACCGTTGGGTGTCAATTGAGATTTCCAGATTCTGAGGGCCGTTTTCGCTGATTTCACTTCTGTCTGACCGACCCGCTTCTAGATCCAATACGTTATGTTGTGCTCACCGCGGCCAACTCAAAAGGGAAAGGAAAGTCACAAGTAAATCATGCGGTACGGCACATGGAAAGAAACACCATACTATCCCGCCACCACAATTACGGTCATACCAAAAACAAGACCACATTCTCTCGGGGGGGAACAGACAAACACACGCCGCCCTCAGCTCAAATCGTACGCTGAGTCCTATACGCAGGAGGCGATAGCGAATTGTCTGCCGCATTATCTGGCGGTTAGCCCTGCCTATAAACAGTCAAGATATACGGTGTTTTATTGCAATCTGGAGACAAATTCCCATTTGAAGGTATTAGCGCCTGACGAGATTCACGGCCCCAAGCGCTACAGCTAATTGGCCAGAACGTCGACAAGACCGAACATACAAAGCCGAACCGAGCTGGGTGAAGATCGGCACCCTAATGGAGCTTGTCATACCGTACCTGTAAATTTGTACCACCCCGGCACGATCAAGGCATCCGGATGCCGAGGCACAACACTTGCAATGGTTAAGACATCCCCGAACACAAGGCAACAGCTCATACCGCACGTGTATGATACAACAGCGCGCCAGCCACTCGTACAAGCATACCGGCATTCCTGTCACTTGCCGCTGCCAACCTGCCATTCCATGCCATACCGTACCATACTGTAGTCTACCGCACCACCCACCCACCCACTCATGCACCATCCCGCCCTTTCACACACAGCTACGGTAGCACCATGATGTAAACCTCACTTACTCTCGCCGGCAAGGACAAGGGCCAATCCCGCTCACTTCCCGATATAAGTGCTATACTGCACACACACGTACTCTTCATAACGCACTATAGTCAAACGAGGCTGGAATGGGTGAATGAGCCTGTACGGTACACAACCACATCCCTCAGTCGCACCTTTTTTTCTTTTTTTGGTTCTTCCTCCGAGACTACTACAGTAGTCACGCACGATAGATAGATACGAACAAGGGCACCCTGCCCGCCTCCCCGACAGAGCAGAAAAGAAAAGCTTTACGGTAAGGTGCTGAAAAAATAACCAAAATCGCGACCACGATAACCACCAATCATATAAAAATAACATCCAAGGCAGGTTCCCAAACGTGGTCCCCCTCTATCGTCCATGTCATATCAGAGTCCCATGGAGAAAAAGCGAATGAAGGAATTAATGAACGGGTAAGGCGATAAGCCGACATGAGCCATTCAATCCCCCAAAACATTATACATCCTACCTACATGAAATACCACAATCGACACGTACGAGTAGTCTACTAGCGCTGTACTGTACTGTACTGTACTGTACTGAACTGTACTCGTACAGTGCTCGTGTGTGCATTAAAAGTGAGGGAGGACACAATCACGCTTTTTCCAAAAAAAGAAAAAAAATCATATTACCACACCACACCACACACCACACCATGGGAGAAAAATATATATATATGAAATGAATGATCCACGTATGTACGAGTACGGTACAATAACGGGAAAATCACTATGATAGTATGCCAAATAAACAAATACCCCTCAATGCAAATACTTCAGTCCTTTATTCCATTTTATTCCACTTTATTTTATTTTACGGATATTCCCCGTGCCATAAAACCACACTTATAGCATAATGTGTCCAAAAAAAAAAAAGAGGTTACTCCCCCCCCCACCACCCCCACCCTCCCCAAGACGACCGTAAAGAGTGCAACCGGCAACAGCGCTCGAGTGAGACATTGTGATTCTCAAAGTATCCCACTTCCGATATCATATGATAGACACAGTACCTCACGCACGTAGAAACACGAACACGAATACAACCATCGTACGACGGAGTTTACGAGCGATGTCCCCGTGGAGAAAGGAGGAGGAGGAAGAAGAAGGAAATAGTATGACATGCTCGAGCGAGTACCGTAGTTTGCACCCGTACAGGTTTACCCCATCCGGAATCCGCTCGTCCGACGGACGCGATGCCTGATGCGCTGGTGGAACGCTGTACGAGTACGAGGACTGTACTGTACTGTATCATGCTGTGCTGTACGGTACTGTGCTAACACTGTATATGCCGGCACGACATCGTACCGGTACGGTATTATGCCGTAAATTAAACGGCGCAATGCTGAGCGCCCAAAAGTCCGTCAATTGTTACGGGCGCATGAATCGCGCCTATATTCATACAATAACCCGTACAGCGCCGTCCTGTGGTGGTAACCATTTGTGGATTCCGAAGGATGCACAGAGCTAGTGGAAACGATGCGATTGGGCTCTGCAGATCGGAAAAAACTAAGGGCGCGTTTCGCCGTCGCGAGGCCGAGGCCAAAATACAAGGCCGAAGGGCCCTCCAAGGACCAACTGAGCGGTAGTGTTCTCCTGGCGCGCGAGGTTTGACCTCACAAAATGGGCCTCCAAATCGCAAGGTTGGACCCATTTTTTAAAACTGTCATTTCCCTGCCCACACCTCCATCTTAACAAGAACAGGTAAGGGCTGTCCGGGTAACAAGATAGCCAAGCATTAGCACCAGTTAGCATCCCACCATGACAACGCTTCTCAGTAGTCCAGCTTCTATGGCATTCTGGGCATTACACAACTTCAATAGCCACAAAGTTTATCCTATCACGATTCCCCAAATGGGCTAGTGTTTTGGCCTAGACTGAATACCTCAGCAACCGAGAGTATACTCAAGAACTTGTAAGAGATGCATTGCGAACATGCCAAAATCTCGAATGTTTTTTCGATGAGGCAACATGATAGCTCACTGTCGCGAGATTCATTCTAAACCTTGCATTTCAGCCTGCCGGGGGCGGCGAAACGCGCCCTAAAAACCCGATTACCCCCACCCCCACCTCTGCCCTACGCTGCCATGCCATGCAACCCCGGCCCTTTCCACCATAAGCTTAATAATGCACCGCACCCCACAAGAATCGGAAGTCACCTCAAACATTTTTTCATCCTCCTTTCAGAAACAAAAGTGAAAATGAGTCCGCTGATCCATCAAGCATAAATATATTCTCTATACAGATACAATACTCATACTCAACGTGCGCGTCTCCCCCCCACGCCGCAGTTGCAGGTCAACAGCGGCGACAATGTAGAAAATTGGAAGCCCAATCAGGAGAGGGCTGGGGGGGGGGGGGGGGGCAGGAACTACATCGTACCATAGACAATCTTTTTAAAAATCCCCCACCATTCGTCAAGAAAGCACAAACAAAAACCCGGTTTTTTTATATATATCAAAAAAGGACAAGAGCAAAAACAAGCGTAAACCACTGACTGTTTTATGAGAAACTCAAAGGCAGCAGAACTAAATGTCCCGGCAAACGTCAAGTGGTAAGGAAATACACAGCAAGAGATTAGATATTCAATAATGGAGAATGAGGGTGAAAACAGATCGCATGGACTAATTAGACAATCGAGGAGCGTTGATAATTATTCCCATGAGACATCCGGAGATGATGCCAGCGATAGGTAAAGTAAGGATCCAACCAGCATAACTATCAAACACATTAGTATCTACTATCATCTCAAGATTTAGCGAGTGGGAATACACACCACCAGGCAACCATCCTCCAGTTGAGCGCTTTGAAGTCACCATTGCAGAGCGCGACACCCATGGTCGCTCCGACGATGCACTGTGTTGTGGAAATCGGGAGGGCGAGACGGGTAGCAAGGACAACGGTAACGGCGGAACCCAACTCCATAGAGAAACCGCGGGAAGGGGATTGCAGGGTCAAGCGATTACCGAGATTGCGCATAATGTTGTATCCATAAGTCCACAGGCCAATGACGATAGCAGCACCACCATAGGCAAGAACCCAAATCGGGACGGGCGCCTTCTTGTTGGCGACACCGGTGTGCCAGACGAGGTAGATTGTGGCGAGAGGACCAGTTGCATTGGCAACGTCGTTAGCACCGTGAGCGAAGGATGCGGTGGCAGCAGTGAGAATCTGGAGGAAGGAGTAGAGATGCTCGGTCTTGTTGTCGAATCGCGTAGCACGGGCGTGCATATCGTTGATGTTCCCGGAAAGCTTCGAAGCGCGGCCCTGCTCGGAGATGACGTCGACACGAACACCGTGAAGGGCAGCATCAACCGTGGTCTTCCAGAGGTTCTTGGGGGCGTACCAGGGGCCCACTTCGGCCCGTTCAACCTCCTCAAGGGACTTTGAGCCAACACCAGCCTCCTTTTGAATAGCAAGGTCGTCCGAGTGCGTGTCTGCGCGGGTAGCCTCCATCTCGGCGACCGTGGATGGCTTGATGTTCGCGGCCTCGAGGTCTGCCTTGGTGGCCTTTCCACGGTAGTAATCCTGCACAATCTGGGTTTGGACTCCCTCGGGTGCCTCTGGGACGGGTCCACGGCGGAGGAGGAGAGGACCAAAGAAGATATCATACCATCTCAAAGTCCAGTCTTCCTGGATGAGTTTCCTGTGGAGGAAGGGGAGGAAGAAGACAATGATAATAAGAGCGACACCGCCAGCAACACCGAAAATGCATCCTGCAATTTGTCCACCTGTCCAAGCGTCAAGGTCGAGCGTTGCGGCCTGTAGAGAGTTTAGCGCTTGCAAAAAAAAAAAAGGCAGCCCGACAGAAGCTACTTACACCCTTCCAGACGATAAGCATGGTCAAGATACCAGAGGTGATGGCAAAGTAGATTGGAACCATTATGAAACCCCATTTGAGAGGCTGACTGCGCTTGAGCACACCATATTTGGTGACCGAGAAAATCAGTGCCGCGAAAGCACCAGCTATCGCAGGCGCGATAACCCAAGATGCAAAGATCTGGGAGACACCCTTGTGTTCCCATCCCCAGACTACACCATCAGCTCCAAGAGATGCAACACCCATACCAATGACACCACCAACAATACAATGCCTAGCATTCAGCAGCCAATATCAGTATCAGCCGAAAAGGAAACAAAAAACAGGGAATCCCCCCATTTCACCCAGTTACTCACGTTGTCGATACAGGCAAACCGAGCGCTGTAGCTACCGTGAGCCATGTAGAGGAGCCGATCAAAGCGCACATCATGCCCAACATGAGAACACCAGGAGACTCGATGAATCGGTCGACCTTGACTATTCACCAGGCCACTGCTATCAGCCCTACTACTCTGCCTAACCAAACATTGGGAGAGGAAACGGAGCCAAGAGAGCGGTCATTACTCACCAATTTTACTTCTGATAGTATCCGCAACACGAGCACCAACAGCAACCGCACCAGTGAATTCCATGACCGTGGCGATGCACATGGCCTGGGTCATAGTAAGGGAGCGAGACGAGACCGAGGTAGCGAAAGAGTTCGCCACATCATTGGCACCGATATTCCAGGCATCCTGTTATCCCACGACCAGTCAGTCAGCCAAAAACCCCAAAACCCGGTTCCTCCAATAGCGAGTGGGAAGAGGGAGGGAAAAAAAAAATACAAAGGTGAGGGAGGGATAAAGTAGGGTGACAAGACATGTCATACCAAGAATGCAAATATCATGCCAATGGCAAAGATGTAGTCATACTCCGGAAGAGCTTGCATATTGCTCCCGGCTGTGTCGAATTCACGACGGGGATCGAGTTCAGATCAACCGTGGGCACTGGCGAGGCCTTCTCCGACGAAGAGGAGGTAGCAGCAAGTTAAAGAGCGAGGCACGCGTGGATCCGCTCGTTTGGTTCTGAACCAGTGGTTAGGGAGTACGAGGTGTGGTATCGGGACAATGGCGGAGAAGGAGGGAGGGGGAGGGGCAGATATTTATGAGAGGAGGGAGGAACCACAAACCTAAAAGAGGGCAGGGAGACCAAGCTCGATAAAGGAAGGTCATCTCGTGTCTAGGTTTTTTCCCATTCTTCGTGACTCTTTTTCTTTTTTTTCCTCCTCTTTTTTTTTCCCTCTCTCCATGCAGAAAATGTGTCAATGTTGCCAATGCTGATTGCCCGGGGGGGGGGGTTGGGAGGAGGAGGGAGGTGGTTAGGGGGGTTAAACTTTTCTTTTCTTTTCTTTTTTTAGCGCGGGATGTCATGCCAAGGAGTTTTGCAAATCAGACAAGAATCCATGACAGTACGAGTACTCGCACCGCACAAGTATGATGCGGTACCCGTGCTACTTGTACCACCACAAGCTGTTCCTGCGAAGGGTGGAGGAAGAAGGGCCACCGTAAGTTACGTGCAGGTATGTGATACGGTAGGCCAGGCGAATCCCATGCTGCATAACCATCGTGTCAGGGGCACTTGCCGTACCGGTACTGTACTCGAGTACTGCCACTCGACAGCCCCCCGTACTGGGCGAGTTACGGTACTGCGCTCGTAAGGTACACGGGTTACGGTGGAGGCAGATAGCACCCTGCTCCACCTGCCCCGTACAAGGACCCTGCTCGAGTGGACAGAGTTAGCATACCGGTAGGGGAGAGGGCCGTCACATATAAGGTATCATACATACCGGTACCTTGTGAAGTATAAGTTAGATCTGGCTACTCGAGTACCGGTAAGGGAAGGAGGAAGAAGAAAAAAAGGAAAGAAAGAGAAAGGAAATTGGTTGGGAGAAGAAGGGAAGGGGAGCGTCATACCTTTCTCCACCCCAGTGCCACAAGTGTACCGGCATCACCCTCTTCCCACGTCTTCCTGCCCTTCCGGTAGTCCCCGAAAGCTTGCTGCTGTCGCCTCAATGTTATGTTATGCAACAGTGCCCCAATTTGATATGGTAGCTGTCTGATACAGCCATTCGGTCACTTGCTAGCAGGCGGATTGGCAAAAAATCCTGTGTGATCATGCATGATTCTAAATATGCTCTCCTGTACCACATCGCTGAATACCGCACAGCTAAATTGTCACATATTACATTGTACTGTACTAGTACAGAGAGAGCTTCCTCCGACTGGTTGAACCCACATAAATTTACCCTCCTAGGTATCACACATCGCCTCACTACCGGTAAGGTTACTCGAGAAGTACGGCACAATTTCTCACAATTTCTCGCACAGCGCACTCCGACGGTGACAATGGAAAACAAAACCGTTTGGCGAAGAACACCGGTACAGTACAGTGCCCCCCCGTACCTACTTGTACCCATATGATAAACGTTCGTGCCAGTCAGCGGCTCTCACAACCAACCTCATTTTCTCTTCCCCTTTCCCGCGCCACCCTCATAACCCCATGGTTCCAACCCGACCCTTATCGCTAATACCGGTAGCGCCATCATCGTCCTCATGATTATCACCCATGATCATCACCACAGCTCACTACAGTACGAGTACACCACCGTAACCCTACCATTCCATACCGGAAAACCCCAGCGCCGCACCATGATACCATCCCACTCGAGAGGGAAATAAGGATGATGGAGAAAAACTCGTTTACCCAACGCGCTACCAGAAAAGTCCAGAAAGAAAGACCCAATAAAACAGGTTTCTATAGAACGTGCTGAACCGCCACAGAGCAGGGCAATACAGTACGGGTACATATCCCTTCCTCTCCCCCTCCTCTTCACCTTTTCCCATGTACTCGAGTACTCGTGCTGTAAACGAGCCAGCTAGCTACCCATCATAGCAGCCAAGTCCCCCTCGCTTCCCATGCCAACCGGCAAAAAGCCACGTGCTGTAAGCTGTACCTGTACGAGTACTGTAGAGTACAGTAGACTGTACCCGAGTACCGGTACTCGTACAACATACCGGCATGTGCCGTATCGTAGCGTAGCCTAACAATGGGCTCACCAGACCAAGTACGGTAGACGGGTAGGCAAGAGATTTTCTCTGGCCGAAACGAGTAAACAATCGACCAAAGTCCGGGTTAATCCATCCTCACTCCTTTCCCCTAGCGGCACCAGATGAACGGCCCACGTAGAGCACCAATTGAGCGACTGCCAGGAGGGAGGGGGGGGGCTTTTGTGGACAGTACCGATATAGTATCAGATTCTCCTGCCTCCGGCTCCGAACAGGAGAATCGATGATTTGATTCCCTTTTCGACTTTTGCCAAGGGCCAAGAATTTCAGCGCTTGCGCTCTCAGTGGATGGCGCTTTCCTAGAAAATTTTATGGCCTCTTCCGTGCACTAGCTCCAGTCGCCCGCTCTGGCTCGTTGGCTAGGTTTGATTGCGACACCAGTAACTTAGCACAAGTGGACCTTCTTGCTTGTCTTTTTTCTTCTCCCTTCTCCCCCCTATTGGAATGGGGGGGGGGAGAAGGGGTCTTGGAACGCGCAATGGGCTTCGCTTGGTATCAGGCAGCTGCGGTAGATCCGGAGAGCTAGGGCACAGCGTCGTACCGTACCGTATCCTATCGTGCTCTACTTGTGCTTGCAGTATTGAATTGTCAGATCAGCAGATGCTACCTTGCCCAGCGATGGAGAGCGAGAGATAAAGAGGGGTAATTAAATCCCCCCCCCATTTCCACCAAGCCAATTCAAACGGAGAGATTCGAAGCGAAGCGAAGGAGTAGAGAGGCGTGATACCATAGCGATATCCACCGCCCAGAATCCCACCAAACATTTCCATTCCACCAAAATCCCCAAAATCCCGAAGCACAAAACCCGTGATGACACGTTGAGGGCATTACAGCATGACGCCCCTCGGCGCCACCTCTCAGGTGAAAAAAAAAGGGCCAAGTTAGCCAAGAGATGTTTCCCGAAGGCTCAGCTTTTAAATAAAAACAACCCCGCGCGCCATTACCGCACTGCGAGAGGAGAAAAGTGAAAATACGGTAAATCAGCTCCCCTTTTTGGTCGCGCGGGGGGTGGGGGGGTTTCTGTACGGGTTCAGGCAACAGTTGCCGGTACGGTATTAGATTTGTCCTTGTCGGGAGGATTCGACGACAGGCGCACGGCTTCCCCACATCCCCGGTGCACATTGAATAAGAAAACCCAATAAAGTTCCTCACTCCGCAAACGTGCATTGTGCAACAGGCGGGAGTTTTTGGTGTGGGAGTGGGTGTGCGGGTTGTGGCTTGGGATTTGTAAACGTGCTCGCTGGGGCTGATGTGATTGGCCGGTTTCGACGTCAGTCGCCAAGGATTTAGAGATTTCTAGGAAGTGGGTATCATATCAAAGTAGGGGTCTTGAGCTGGTACCGTGCTCGTGCTGTAACGAGTACAGTTGATTGATTGATCGATTAATGGTGACGGCGTGGGATGGGGGAGGGAGGGGTACTCGAGTAACCTACTCGAGCATCGTACCGTACGGTAATGGAAATGCTGCCCCAAAGTGAACTGGACTGGATGGGACTGGATTCTGAGTGCATTTTGGTGATTTCCACGAGTGGGGTACTTTACTCGTGCACCATATCATCCCTTGTCCCACCGGCACAAGTACGGTACCCTGGAGGTGGACAGCTTTGGGAATAGCAATGCTGTACCGGTACTCGCACTTGTACTCGAGCATGTATCGGGGAGAGGAGGAAGAGTAAGATTTGACCTTCCATGATACCAACACCGGCTCGGGTGACCTTTGCGATGGCTCGTTTGGCTGCGGTTCTTTTTCCCCTTTCCTCCCGCCGCTGGGGGCACTAGAGTCTACCAAGACTATACGAGTAACAAGTACTAGTACAAGTACCCCCAACCAGGGACTATCACGACCCGACCTATGCATGATACTCGAGCACCCCACCGTACCCCGGAACCGTCGCTTAAACATGCAGACGTTCGGGGCGGTCGATTGATGGAGATCTCGCCCCTTTGCCTTGCAAGATGGAGGGTTTTACTGGTGTGCGAGGAGAAAAAATCTTGATATCCAGAGTGTCGGCATAGTGTTGGGGATGATCTGGTGGATGGGTCGAGATCATCCCGGGCTCACAATTGTGCGTGAGGATTGCCATGGTGATATCACGGGGCTTTACAGAAGAGGTTCGCTGTGTGCAGGTAACACGCCGAGTAAAGCATAGCGCACACAGTGCTCAAGCACGCATCCACAGATCCCAAACAATTCAACGCGCCACTTCCCCACTCTTCTCGAGTTGAATTACTCTACGACGCATCCGTCCATCTACCGGCGCCAAAGCTGAGAAAGTCGCGTGCCTCCTTCACCCGTACTCGAGTACGCAGGGCATCATATCATACTCGGGGGATGCGATAAAAATCGGAAAACCATTCCTGATGAGATCCCCACAAGGCTCCACTGTACGAGCAGCACGGGACTAGTACAGTACTAGTACAAATCTCTCCTAGGGGCAAGGGTCATGTTTTTCCGATCTCGCTCACACACATAAGGAGGAATATTTCTTACTCCAGACTTCGCCCCCGGAAAGCCCCGCCTCCACAGTCCCTCACAAACCCCACCACTCACAGGAGGCAAGTGTCAATCCATCCCACCTTCCCCCATGTCACTGCTGCGTGAGTGGAGTGCGGCGCTAGAGTATGATACAGTACCAGAGTACTGTACCGAACAATTGAGTGAAAATGGGAAAAAGAAAAGAGATAGCCCCATTGGGGACCCCCGGAACAATAAACTCTATCGTTTAGCTGTACTCAGTGCCCCACACCGAGGGCAGGAGGGCTATCGCAATTCGATAAGCTGCAGTACTCGTACTAGTACAGTGCGGTGGTGATGCCCCACTGTCAACGTGATATAACAACATACCGGTATCATCGTGCATACCCTGGTCAATGTGGAGTATGGTTCGCGGGAATAATTCCCCACGATTGTTGCACCCTATGGTATGATTGATACGGTACTCGAGTACCGTGGATCATGGGCCGGTCAAGTGTGACTAGCTCGACTACAAGTAACTCAGCCCTTCATATCGCCTACTCGAGTACTCGTACAGTGCTCGTACCGTTCCACGCCTCCGCTTCTCACACTGATTGGCACAACCTCTAGAGACTGCGTGTCCGTAGCATAGCTTTGACCGGGATTATCCCAAACTCAATTATCAATTCTCAGGACGGATGCTGTGTGAATGGTACTGGACTACTAGTACTACTTGCAGTACATGGCCGTACGATACCAGTACGAGTACGAGCCCTCAAGTGGTACTCGAGTACAGTAGGGTGTGGATGGGCAACCGATCACCGGGAAAGGGAGGGAAGGAGGGCAATCCCAGTAAGGATGCGTGCGTGCGTGAAGCGTTTGGCGAACGGGAGAGAAAAGTGGGGAAGAAAAAACGTATTTTTTTTCTCAAGAAACCCGAAATGAAAGGATTGGAGTTTGCTACCCAATGAAGAGTCGCGAATAACAGAGAAAGGAAAAAGAAGGACCACGAGGGGGGGGGGGAAGCAGATATGGTGTTACCGGCACAGTGGCGTGGGTGATTGTCGCTCTGGTTTGTGGTAAGTTGGAAATGGCAGGTGAGATTCTAGGGTGGGGGTCTCGGCTGGCTGGTGGTGGTTCATGGTTGTTTGTTGGATCGGTGTATTGGGAATTGTCATACCCTACCCCGTGCTCGAGTAAATTTACGGTACAAGTACAGGAAGAGAGAGGGCTAGACTATTCCCGGGTAAATGGTACGGCTCGATGATAAATTCAGTTCGCATGCATCCGTGTCGTACTGTACCAAGGTAGGTACTCGAGTACCGGTACTGGTTAGGGATGAAAGAAGGGCTGAATGAATAGGCGGAGAGAGCGAGGGAGCCAAGGTCTCACTGTAATTGACTAGAAAGCGAAGAATAAAACACCCCTCATTTATCGCTTCCTCCGGGTGTCAGGCTTCACGGTGAAAATTTTTCAGATTGTCTTTCGTGCCATCCAAGAGGTGATTGGGGCACGGTCCCGCTATTCGTGATCCAACCACAATGCACGACGCACTGTTAGTCCTTCCTGGTTGGCAGGACAAGATGGTTCGTGTTTACAGTACCATTAGAGAAGTCCACTACGGTGCAATCTATGTACAGTACTCGAGTACCAAACTCGCTGGTCCGCTCGATCCACCGATAACTTGCATGGTATCTACTTGCATCATATGGTGCGAGCGCTCCAATTTCATACTTGTACTGTAAATTACGGGTCACTAAATGAGCCAAGTGTGCTCAGTGCCAGAGCACTCGCAAACGCGCCATGCAGCGCAACAACGGTTAGCGGAAACCCTTCGAGTTAGGAAAGAAGACAAAACGCAGCAGATAGATCTATATCTACCCAAGTGGGATCCTACAAATTGCGAACCGCCACCAGGAAGGCAAACACCACATTAGTCGGGCAGAAGTCTGGACAGATCCGTAGTGGAAAAGGGGTGAGAGAGCAAGAGAAAGGGAAAACAAAATCCCTCGCATGCTGCAGGCCCAACATGTAGCTCTAGATTTCGGGAAATGGGATCGTCCTAAGGCTTCCTCTTGCCTTTTGCCATCGTTTTTAGCTTCCAACTCCAACCCATCCGCCCAAGGACCACCCGCATTCTTGAATTTGGCCGACCCCCTCATACCGACGATCCAGAACCACAGCAGATCTCTAACCCTCGGGGGAACTGAGACGAGCCAATACCGGTAAGCCGGTATCTCACGCTTGTAAAACTGACAAGGAAACTTTGCGATGACTTGAATTGTTCTGAGGCCCGACCGGACACTCACCGCGCCCCCTCCATCCCCCAACCTCCCCACTAGAAAGTACCTTCCTATTCATCATCGCCGAACGGGAGCACCCCCGCTTAATGAACCGGTTTGGTAAACACCCGAGTGATGTGGCATGATAGCGAGGAACAAAGCCCAGCGAACACGATCCTTGGGGAAAACTTCCAGAAGGTTTCTTAATCCCGCCAATGGAGATACTTCGTTGCTAGGATTTTATTGTGCCGTAACAAGTTTCGGATGTATGAGATCACAGATCGTGGGTGGACCCATCTGTCCTGGCAGTCAGTTCTCGCTGAAACAAGACTCCGATAGGCACCAGGCGCTGCCCCGCCACCTTCCGAAATATCATACTCCGCCAAGGCCAACGCGGTCGTGAGTATAGTCTTGGAGCTTCTGAGTTCGGCCGCTCTTGGACATGGATGCTCACTCGTGGACCTTGGCGGTTCAACATATTAGACCAATGCCCTCGGTGTCTCCGTCCTATGGGGTTCTAAGAGAGAGCCAAGGTCAGCGGGAACCCCCCACCCACACGGAATTCAACCACTACGGCTCCCCCATCCCATCTCTCCAAACTGGCTACTCGCAGTAGTAGGTGATTCACCGGATACCTGCATTGACGCTTGACGGGCGGACACAGTTCCCGTCGGCTACCTCACAGGTAACGGTAGAGTGGAATGACTCGGCACCTCGGAGGCGATGGCTCCCGCCTACCGTATCGCTATTACGTTTAGCAGGGATCTTGTGGCACTTCTTGGTCTAGTGAGATTAGGTCATACTGTATCACTCCGGTTTCCGTTTCCCGCCTACTAGCAGGAACATGGGACGGCATCGTAACTAAGTTATAGCAACGACCGGGAAAAGTAAGCTAAAACTTTACAGGAAGCGAACGAAGATCATTGCCCATGTAGAGATTATGGAGAAGCACTAGGGGCATTCCCTTAATCCTAGTGCGAGTAGTGTATCATACGGTAGCTAGACATCGGATGTTACAAGTTTCAAAGTATGATACTAGTATCCCTTGAGGGGTTAGAAATAGTAAAAAATTCGTAGCCAGGCACAATAATAAAAAATATTATTCTGTATCAATACACTAGGAAGCACACTTATTCCAGATTCTGTAGGCAGTTATCTATTTCGGGTTATGAATTCGGCCTTTTCGGGGTTCAAATGACTCGGCACCTTAGCAACGGTTCATTTCCAACGAATCACAATAATCGCGTGCCTCCCAAGATAGGACTTGCGTGCCTGGCTATCGTTCGAACTCTAACTGTTTCTGAGACCCCCCCCCGAGGGATAATGGTTATTACA